TTATATAAAAATGTGCTTATTATAAAAACATGCATCAAAAGCAACAAGGCGAGGAAGACAATAAAATTAGAGCATGCTTACACAAATATTTGATATTGCTCATTTTTAATATTTACATCATTTTAAATCTTAGGTTTCATTGTTAATATGTACGGTGTCACAAACAACAGTAGTGACAAAAAGAAAATATTTAAATGACCTTTGACCTTACCGATTTTACTGCAAATTTGGTCAGAAGATACTGTTTCTTTGCCACCGTGTCTGATGGGAGAAAATAAGAGTCAATTACATTCAGAACAAAAGCAATTAAAATAAAATGACTAATATGTAATGTCTCATATGAATAACATTGTGAAAGTGATTCAAAAACAAGTTTTTATCTGTGTGAACTGGCTCAGTGATAGACCCAAGCTGACTTGTGGCTCACATCTAAGTCTTTGAATTAGAGCAATTAGGTTAATGCAGGAGTTGGTAAACGAACAGCTGATCGAAAAAGGAAGTAACGCAGAGTTCAGACAACGTGACTGACAGCTGAGTGAACAGCTAGCCCTGTGAACGGAAACTAAACATTCAGGATTCAGGGAAAAAAAAGAAAAAGAAAAGCAGAGTAGCAGGTAAGCAGGTGCTAAAGCGRGAGGCAAAGCAAACAAAAAAAAAAAGACATAGGCAGGCTACATGGCAGATAGACGCCTGAGAGAGGAGCAAGGGACAAGATAAAAGAGGAGTGATGGAGAGCATATCTCCAGGCAGCYACACAAGGAATTACTGTAATAGTTTCTGTCACTCCCCCTCTCTGCGCTTCTCGTTCGCTCTTTATCTCCCTCTCTCTGTTTTGTTCCAACACAAACATGTCTTTCACAAGGAGTGCATCTTTTCTCAGAAGCCCTTCACAGACTACATCTGTCTGAGAGTGTGCAAGCTTGTATATGTGTGTCTGTGTCTGTCTGTCTAAGCATGAATGACAAAGTAAAATAGAATGATAGTATTAACCAGACAAAATCCATAGAAACAAAATAAAATCACATAAGTAATAATATAATATAATATAATGTAATGTAATGTAATGTAATGTAATGT